ATGAACAGCTGTAGGGTTAATTAAGATTAAAATTAGGAGGAAAGTGGTACCTACACAGTTAAGTAACAATTCAAACCTTGTTCTAAGTAAGATACACCTGCATTTGAAGGTTGAAGCTGATGATGAGACATTTTCAAGTTTTTACACAGTAACTTGTATCCCAGTTTGTTCAGTAAAATTAACAAATTGGTACCTACAAAACCCAAGTCAGCAGAAGCATTCTATACTTCTTTCTTACTGCTATTAATTGCTCATAATTTTAAATTACAAGTCAAATCTTACTCCAAATTAATAATAATCATTATTCTTACCTGTCCATTTAATTTTGTTTATCACTACTTGTTTTTTAGTCACTTTTCATTGTGTATGCAATTAGTGTATATTCCAATTACTTTTTTGCAAGTACCAAAACTATCTTTTGCTAGCTAGTACCAACTACCTCATTTTTTTTTACTTTTTATTGTGCAATAAACTGCTCAATTTATTTAATATTAGAAATCAGATCTTACTCCTAAACCAATATTATTTCATAGTGACCATCTGTCCATTTAACTTTGTTTACCATTACTTAATTTTAGTCCCTTATATATTTTCTCCTTTATTTTAGCTTTATATAACTACCCTAGTTTATATATTCACAATTGTTAAAATAATCAAGGTGCTATTCTCAGGTGCTAAAGTAGAATAAGTTCACAATTTTGCCATTATATTCCAAAGCTCATTTATTTGATTACCACTTTATTGTTCACCACAACTTATATTAGTCCCTTTTATATTATAATTTTATACTATAATTCTAACTTTAAAGAATTACCTTTATAGTACTACGTACTATCATATTCCCAAGCTCCATTATTTGATCATCACTTTATTTGTATTAGTCCCTTTTATATTGTCTCCTTTATTTTAGCTTAAAAAAAAAAAAAAAAAAAAAAACTACCTTAGCTCATTATTTTACATTTGTTAAATAATTCAGGTGCTATTTTTTAGCTTAAGACTATTTACTTTGTTTTATACTTAATTCTAACTATAGATTCACTACAAATCTTAAGATTACAAGCATTGATCCTGATACCAACCTCTTATTTAATGACTTAAATGAATCAAACAGTTACTGTAATTACTACACTGCAAAACAATCAAAGGCACTTCTCAGTGCCAACAACAACATAACTATCTTTAACTACAATATCAGATCTTTAAGCAAGCATTACAATGACCTCATAGCATTACTAAATTCCTTACATGCCAATATGTCCATCATTACACTAACTGAAACCTGGCTAAAGCCTGATAGTACAGATGTCTATGCCATTCCTGGTTACACAGCCATACACAACTGTAGACCAGACCAACAAGGGGGTGGCACAGCCATATACTACTCAGACCAACTAGAATGTATCACTAATACTTGCACAAGGGATGAACATGGGGAATATATAATAGCCAAATTCAAATCCAAATACCTACAAAAACCTCTCACATTGATAAACATCTACAGAGTTCCACAGTCAAACATTAGCCAATTTAGTCAAAACCTAGGAAGTATGATAACTGATGCATGCATGAACAAAGATCACTTACTACTCTCAGGTGACTTCAATATAAATCTCCTGCAAGACCAGGACCCACACGTTACTGAATTCACAAACACAATGAATAACTGTATGTTGCTACCAACAGTAACAAAACCTACAAGAGTTACAGAGACTAGCGTTTCCCTACTTGACCACATCTGGACCAACACCATATCCCCTTTAAAATCAGGCATAATTACAGATAATACCACAGACCCACTACCCTACTTTCCTCATAACAACTCTTGGTAAACTACCCCAAGACACTACTAAAGTCACCTTCAGACTTCACAATGAGGCAGCCATTAATAACTTCACAACAGCAGTAGCAAACATTGACTGGCACACTGAGCTAGAAATCTATACAGATATTGACGAATGTATTAATAATTTTCTAAAAAAGACCCAATACCTCTATAACAAGCACTGCCCTAAAAAAACTAAACAGATGACAGCTAAGAGACTGAACAGTCCCTGGCTAACACCCAGCATTCTCAAATCCATAAATACAAAACACCAATATGAAAAACAGTACAGAATGGGTCACATAACCAGAGACCAAACAAAACGTTACTCATCAATCCTAACCAGCCTGATAAGAAGGGCAAAAAAATTGTATTATGAGAACAGATTATCCAACTTACGAGGTGATATAAAAAAGACCTGGAAAACCCTATCAGAAATTCTGGGAACAAAAAAGATATCATGAAATAGCGAAATAAAATTAGCAAAATCAGATGAACCTCAACTCCCACCAACAGAAACAGCAAACAGACTCAATGATTTCTTCTCCACTATAGGACAAAACCTTGCCAATAAAATCCCAAGCTCAGATACCCCACCAAATGACTACCTCACCGGCAACTACCCAAACACACTGTTCCTAGCTCCGACTAACCCATACGAAGTCTCCCTTATTACCAATGCACTAAAAAACAAGGCAGGAGATTTAAATACCTTACCACCCTTTATATACAAAAAAGTGTCACAAGTGCTATCACCAATCATTGCAACACTCTTTAACAAATCCATTGAATCCTCCACCTTCCCTACAGTACTCAAAATAGCAAGGGTCACCCCGATCCACAAAGGAGGAGACCAAACAGAGTTGAATAACTATAGGCCAATATCCAACTTACACCCTCTCTCAAAAATCTTTGAAAAATAAATTCATAAACGAATCTACTCCTACCTTATCTCCCAAAACATACTCAACCCCTGCCAATTTGGATTCAGGCCTAATAAAAATACTAATGATGTTATTATACACATGCTAGAACATATATACACTGCAATAGAGAAAAAAGAAGTCCCACTGGGGATCTTCATTGACTTGCGTAAAGCTTTTGATACAGTTGACCATGACTTGCTCCACGTAAAATTGTCACACCATGGTATAAGAGGGCACTCCTTCAACTACCTCAAGTCATACCTCAGCAACAGAAGCCAATATGTGTACGCAAATGGGGCAAACTCTTCTGCACAACCAATGACAGTTGGTGTCCCACAGGGAAGTGTCCTTGGCCCTCTTCTCTTTGTCCTATACATAAATGACCTACCAAATGCTTCGCAATTACTCAAACCCACACTATTTGCAGATGACACTGCTGCATAATCCTATGGGTTTAGCGCTTCCCCTTGATTATAATAATAATGCAGATGACACTACATACGTCTTCTCCCACCCGAGCCCAGTCACACTAGCCAATACTGTAAATACCGAATTACAGAAAATATCTACCTGGATGAGGACTAACAAACTTACACTAAACATTGACAAAACCTACTTCATTCAGTTTGGTAACAGAGCTACAGATGTCCCTCTTAACATAATGATAAACGGATCACCTATCACAAAGCTAACAGAGGGAAAATTCTTAGGAATCCACCTTGATAATAGACTCAAATTTCATACACATATACAACAAATTTCTAAGAAAATTTCCAAGATTGTAGGCATACTATTGAAGATACGGTACTATGCTCCACAGTCAGCCCTCCTGGCCCTATATCACTCTCTTATTTACCCCTATCTCACCTATGGAATTTGTGCATGGGGCTCAACAACAATTAACCATCTCAGACCACTAATTACCCAACAAAAGGCTGCAGTTAGAATGATAACAAATTCTCACTACAGGCAGCACACTCCACCAATATTCAATACACTAAACCTACTCACCATACAAAACATCCATACTTATTACTGCACCTATTACATACATAGAACACTTTGATGTTCCTCGTGTCCATCTCACACTATGCAAAAACTCAATGCACATAAAAGGCCCTAAAATCTGGAATTCATTACCTGTAAATATAAAAGAAACACTACCTGTTTATAAATTCAAGTCTCTTCTCAAAGATCACTTACTCACCCAAAACCAAATAAATACTGAATAACTGAACCTTATAAATTGTATATCTTAAATGTTTCTCACAATTATATCACATAAATGTTAAACCTAAAACCCAATCTAACTTTATTATTTTTTAAATACACTACCTAACAGAATACTCCATACGACTGAATGTACAACAATGCATGCAACCATATGACCTGTCTTTGTAATACTCACTTGTGCTTTATAGTAATCTGTTTACATTAATGTTTATCACTGATTTCATCATTGCTTAGTTAATCTTAAGTTAATTTTAAGCCAGCCCGTAATGCTATGCATAGTATAAGTGGCTTTGGCATGCTGCTCTTATCTGTATTTTTTTGTACCTCTGTATGTGTGCTCAAATTGGTTGATCAGGCGCTGATCCACCAGGAGGCCTGGTCACAGACCGGGCCGCGGGGGCGTTGACCCCCGAAACTCTCTCCAGGTAAACTCCAGGTAAAAGATTGAAGGTGATCAAAAGTGACATTCTCTTATTATTGCAAGAACCAAAATACCTAGTTGATTATTTGTTGCTGTTGTAATACTAGTGGTGTTGCTCTTGTATCCTAGGTATTGAATCTGAAGCTGTGTACTATATTTTTGCCTCCCTAATCCTGTTTTTCTTGCATTTGTGTTGCTTGTACTGTGCTCTAGTTGTGTAATTCGTGTAAATGACACTGAAGGTTTACAACTTTTTCCTTTGTTGTTTGTAAATTACATTTTTCTAGGGTCCTAAAGTCCATTGTATAAGCAATATTCTGGTTAAATATAGTAAAACTATATTTAATTAGAATGTTTTCTCAAGCTTCAGCAAGTCTTGAGAAAACTCAACACACCAAAATGTTGTCTCAGTAAAAACTTGGTCTACAATTTCAGTCTTTGTCTTCATGCTTGTCGCAAATGAACTATTTCATTCTGCCAAATGACACGCTGTTTTTCTATTATTGAGCGAGACACGTGTGATATGGCTTTCAGGCTTGTTAATTATTCTTCCATGAATGCTTGAGAGGTACACTTCAGGGTATGTCCCTCACTTCAGCCATGGCATCGAGTGCTCAAACGCATCGAAGGCAAGTTTGGCACTAGTGTGGTGGCAGTCTTCAACTTCCTGCGAAACATGATACAACTCAACATGTTGCTGGCGCTGCTCCTGCTAGGAGGAGTGGTAGTACCCTCAGTGCTGTGGGCCAGCAGCAACAGTAACCAGGATTACACCTGGGAGGCACCAAAGAACACGTCTGATGGAAATTGTATGTGCTCTGCTCCTACACTCACTGATAACAACACAGCGGTAAGGACTATTCTTTTTACAGTTAGTTTGATGCCGAATAAAGTTTTGGATCACTTGATCTTTCGAGGGGGTTATCATGATGCTGGTGGAAAATTTCTGATTCAAAGAACCGAAAATACCCTTCTCCTTCATTGGATCAAACGTGATTACCTCCCATTTCCTATGCACTGTTTTACCCCTGTGGTTGTTTAATATATTTATAGATGGGGTTGTAAGAGAAGTAAATGCGAGGGTCTTGGCAAGAGGCGTGGAGTTAAAAGATAAAGAATCACACATAAAGTGGGAGTTGTCACAGTTGCTCTTTGCTGATGACACTGTGCTCTTGGGAGATTCTGAAGAGAAGTTGCAGAGATTGGTGGATGAATTTGGTAGGGTGTGCAAAAGAAGAAAATTAAAAGTGAATACAGGAAAGAGTAAGGTTATGAGGATAACAAAAAGATTAGGTGATGAAAGATTGGATATCAGATTGGAGGGAGAGAGTATGGAGGAGGTGAATGTATTCAGATATTTGGGAGTGGACGTGTCAGCGGATGGGTCTATGAAAGATGAGGTGAATCATAGAATTGATGAGGGGAAAAGGGTGAGTGGTGCACTTAGGAGTCTGTGGAGACAAAGAACTTTGTCCTTGGAGGCAAAGAGGGGAATGTATGAGAGTATAGTTTTACCAACGCTCTTATATGGGTGTGAAGCATGGGTGATGAATGTTGCAGTGAGGAGAAGGCTGGAGGCAGTGGAGATGTCATGTCTGAGGGCAATGTGTGGTGTGAATATAATGCAGAGAATTCGTAGTTTGGAAGTTAGGAGGAGGTGCGGGATTACCAAAACTGTTGTCCAGAGGGCTGAGGAAGGGTTGTTGAGGTGGTTCGGACATGTAGAGAGAATGGAGCAAAACGGAGTGACTTCAAGAGTGTATCAGTCTGTAGTGGAAGGAAGGCGGGGTAAGGGTCGGCCTAGGAAAGGTTGGAGGGAAGGGGTAAAGGAGGTTTTGTGTGCGAGGGGCTTGGACTTTCAGCGGGCATGCGTGAGCATGTTTGATAGGAGTGAATGGAGACAAATGGTTTTTAATACTTGACGTGCTGTTGGAGTGTGAGCAAAGTAACATTTATGAAGGGGTTCAGGGAAACCGGCAGGCCGGACTTGAGTCCTGGAGATGGGAAGTACAGTGCCTGCACTCTGAAGGAGGGGTGTTAATGTTGCAGTTTAAAAACTGTAGTGTAAAGCACCCTTCTGGCAAGACAGTGATGGAGTGAATGATGGTGAAAGTTTTTCTTTTTCGGGCCACCCTGCCTTGGTGGGAATCGGCCAGTATGATAATAAAAAAAAAATAATTAGATCACTGAAGAATCACTTCTTTTCCCCTTTCCTCCCCTAAGGAAAGCATATGAAAGTTGTGCAAATTTTTGTTGTGGTGATGCCATATATTTTATACCAAAACTTACCTAACCATACTAAAATTTGCATATTATTATTATTATTATTATTATTATAATTGAGGCAAGTGCTCAACTCAAAAGGTCAGACAACCTTACATTGTATACAACCTATCAAAGAATTTATAATTAGTCAGCTGTTTCCCTTGGGGAGGCAGTCAAACTTCAGAGCCTAAGCAGTTCACTAAAATAATACAATGTCTAGAAGCCTAGAATTATTATAATTGTATATCAACTACTGCACTAGTGAAAAAATACTTTAAACTGTTTTGAATGGAATAAAAAATGGCAAGAAATGTTTATAAGAGGTAATATTAAAAATGAGAAAGAACCAAGCCTTACTAAGACTTTTTTTTTATTTTTTTATTAACACATTGGCAATTTTCCCCCAAGGCGGGGTTGGCCCCAAAAGAGAAAAACTTTCCCCAAACATTCACTCCAAAAATTTGTTTTGGGCCAGAGGCGAAATTATGCAAAGGCAGTTATAAAACTGCAACTTAGAAACCCTTTCCTTCAGAGTGCAACACTGTACTCTTATCCCCAAAGGACCAAGCCAGCCTGCGGGTTTTCCCTAATCCCTTCAAAATGTTACTTTAAACCACACACCAACAGCAAAAATCACACCCAAAAAAAACTTTTAATCCCCATTTGCTTCAAACTAACACTTTCACACATGTTTGCGGGGAAGCCCCAAAACCCCCTCACACACAAAACCTCCTTTCCCCCTTCCCCCCAAACCTTTTTTCCTAATTTAAACCCCTCCCCCAAACCTTTCCCCTCCATGAAAATTTACAAAACCCCCCGGGGTCATTGTATTTCTTTCCACCTCTCTGCATGTCTAAAACCCGCCTCAGAAAACCCCCTCCTCACCACCCTGGATGATAGTTTTGGCAATCCTGCACCCCCCCCCTAATTTTACAAAAGATGACTGTTTGAAATGTACTTTCATCTTACAAAGTATTCATTTAAAAAAGCTTTCACCTAACTCTTACAGAGTAATTTTTATGAAGAAAAAAAGTATTTTAAAATTTTACACACGGGCCGATTCCCCAAAACCAAGGCAGGGGGGCCCCAAAAAAGAAAAACTTTCACCATCATTCCCGTCTTGCCAGAAGGGTGTTTTAAAACTACATTTTTTAAACTGCAACATTAAAAACCCCCCCTTCAGAGTGCGGGCCCCACTGTATTTCCCATCTCCGGGACTCAAGCCCGGGCCTCCCGGTTTTTCCCTGAATCCCTTCAAAAATTTACTTGCTCACACTCCAACAGCACGTCAAGAAAAAAAAAAACCTTTTGGGTCCTATTCACCCCAATCAAACCGCCATGCATGCCTGCTGGAAGCCCAAGCCCCTCGCACACAAAACCTCCTTTAAAACCCCCCCCCCTCCAACCTTTCCTAGGCCGACCCCCCTACCCCGCCTTTTTTCCACAACAAAAACTAAATAAAACCCCTTGAAGTCATTCTGTTTCGCCCATTCTCTCTACATGTCCAAACCCACCCAAAAAACCCCTTTCCCCTCGCCCTCGGACAACAGTTTTGGTAACCCCCGCACCTCCTCCAAAATTTCCCAAAACAAACGAATTCTCTGCTTTTATATTCACACCACACTTTGCCCTCAACATACATCTCCACTCCCTCCACCTTCTCCTCCTGCAAAACATTCATCACCCACGTTTTTCACACCCATATAAAAAATTTTTGGGTAAAATAAAACTCTCAAAAACTTTCCCCCCTTTTTTGCCTCCAAGGCCCAAAGTAAATTTGGGGGTCCCCACAGCCCCCCTAAGTGCCCCACCACTTTTTTTTTTCCCTAAACAATTCAAAATGATTCACCTCATCTATAAAACCCTTCCGCTGACACGCCACCCCCAAATATTCTGAATACTTCACCTCCTCCATCCCACTCCCCCCTTTCCAATCTGATATTAAATCTTTCATCACCAAATTTCTTTTTGTTATCCTCTAACCTTACTCTTTCCTGTATTCACCTTTAATTTTTTTTTCTTTTTTCACACCCCAACCAAAATTTATCCACCAATCTCGCCAAAGTCCCCTTCGAATCTCCCAAAAGCAAAAGTTTTCTTTAGCAAAGAGCCCGGGTGTGAAAAACTCCCACATTGTGTGTATTTTTATCTTTTAACTCCACACCCCCTTGGGCCAAAAACCCTCCAAATTTTCTTCTCTTTCAACCCCAAACTATAAATTTATTAAACAACCACGTGACAAACACACCCTCCCTTTTCTAAGGGCCCACTTTTTCTGGGGAAAAAATTTTTCCCCCTTTCCTACATACTCTAAAATTGAGGCCCCCACTAAACCTCGTAAAAACCTTTACTGGGTTCAGTAACCCACCTCCTACACCCAACACTTGCCCAAAATCTGCCACATTGCCCCCCCTATCCACCCTGTCATATTCCTTTTTTTTAAAACCTTAAATTTCCACCCAAAACCTCTTTAGCCTTAAACTAAATACCCGTTCACCCTTTTATGTTTTTTCTGTAAACACCTGGTCCACAACCCCCCCCCTACCTTTCCCCAAAAACCCCCCTTGTTCATTTTGCTATCCTATTCACCGTTTTTACTCTTTAATTTTTTTCCAAAATTTTAAAATCTACCAAACACTTTAAACCCGGTACAAATAAAAAGACTTATCCCCCCATAATTTTGCACTCTCTTTTTTCCCCTTTTCCTTTTTACAAAGAACAAAGCATGCCCCTTTTTGCCAAACCCTAGGGCCTTACCCTCTTTCCCTACATTTATTAAATAATTTTCACCAACCAAATCCCAAAAAATATCCCCCCCTGCTTTTTTCCCTTTCTATCTTTTCCCATAATCCCGGGTGCCCTTTCCCCCTTTCATTTTACCTACTGCCTCACGAACTTCCCCCCAATCACAAAATTGGGGTTTTTTCCCACTTCCCACAAAAATGGGTTTTTTCCCCCTTGCCCTATACACAAAAACACAGCTTCCCTATTTTCATCAACATTTAACAATTCCCAAAATATTCCCTCCATCTTTCCCCAAACCTCAAACCCCTCCATTTAATAACCTCCTCTCCTATTTTTTAAATGACAAATCCATTTGTTTTCTAGGGTTTCTTAACTTGTTAATTCCTTCCCCCTCCAAAACTTTTCTTATTTTCAACAAAATTTTTTTTATAAAAATCTCACCCACTCCCCCATTTTTCTCCTTTTTTCCCTTTCTTCACCACTCTCTTTAAAACCCCTTTTCCCTTTTTTTCCCCAAAAATCTTCCCCCTTGCATCACTTTTACTTTTTAAAAACTTTTTCATATGCTAACTTTTCTTTTTCCCTTAAATCTCTTTACATCATCATTTTCCCCCAAACGCTCCCTTCCCTCCTGCACACCACTTTCCTTTTAACCACAAAATTCTGCGAACACTCAACACCATTTTTTAAAAATATCCCAAAACCCCTTCGACCCCATTGCCCAAAGGTCTCACAGCCCATCTATCCCCCCAAAAGCTGTTTAAAATCTTACCCTAACTGCCTCCTCTTTTTGTTTTTAAACCTTCAAACCCCTCTCTTCCCCCTTTTCTTTTTTATTCCCCCTTGTATTCCCCTCTACCTTTTACTCCAGTGTATAAAAAACCCAAAAGGATCTGATATATCGTGGCCCCTCCATAGACATGTACATCCTGAAGTCTAAATCAACAGTCCTTTTTTTCTCCCAAAACATAACCCAACAAACTACGGGCATTTTTGCCCTACACATAACTTGTAAAACTTATTTATCCCCCCCTTTTTTTTAAAATATGTAAATTTCCCATAACTAAACCCCTTTCTATACAAAGTTCAATCAAAGGGCTCCCATTATCATTTACACCTGGCACTCCAAACTTACCTACCACACCCTCTCTAAAAGTTTCTCCTACTTTAGCATTCAGGTCCCCTACCACAATTACTCTCTCACTTGGTTCAAAGGCTCCTATACATTCACTTAACATCTCCCAAAATCTCTCTCTCTCCTCTGCATTCCTCTCTTCTCCAGGTGCATACACGCTTATTATGACCCACTTCTCGCATCCAACCTTTACTTTAATCCACATAATTCTTGAATTTACACATTCATATTTCTCTTTTCCTCCTTCCATAACTGATCATTTAACATTACTGCTACCCCTTCCTTTGCTCTAACTCTCTCAGATACTCCAGATTTAATCCCATTTATTTCCCCCCACTGAAACTCTCCTACCCCCTTCAGCTTTGTTTCGCTTAGAGCCAGGACATCCAACTTCTTTTCATTCATAACATCAGCAATCATCTGTTTCTTGTCATCCGCACTACATCCACGCACATTTAAGCATCCCAGTTTTATAAAGTTTTTCTTCTCTTTTTTTAGTAAATGTATACAGGAGAAGGGGTTACTAGCCCATTGCTCCCGGCATTTTAGTCGCCTCATACGACACGCATGGCTTACGGAGGAAAGATTCTTTTCCACTTCCCCATGGACAATAGAAGAAATAAAAAAGAACAAGAGCTATTTAGAAAAAGGAGAAAAACCTAGATGTATGTATATATATATATGCATGTGTGTGTCTGTGAAGTGTGACCAAAGTGTAAGTAGGAGTAGCAAGATATCCCTGTTATCTAGCGTGTTTATGAGACAGAAAAAGAAACCAGCAATCCTACCATCATGCAAACAGTTACAGGTTTTTGTTTCACAGTCATCTGGCAGGACGGTAGTACTTCCCTGGGTGGTTGCTGTCTACCAACCTACTACCTACTAATAGATAATACATACTCTAATATACATTAGTCTGTACAGAAATCATCATTCATACAAGAAAATGTTAATTTCACAGAAGATAAATAATTACCTTGGAAAAAAGTAGTCTTAGTCCTTTAAAAGTGCTGAATGACTTGTATGGGCTTTGATTGTTTAGCACTTTCCAGGAATGTAATATTAATTAGGCATATAAAAGAATTAGTCTCATAATCAGAACAGTCTTAAAAATTAGCATCAGAAATCGCTAGTCTTACAAAAATAAATTTTACAAAAAATCATTACATTAAACATTCTTATAAAGAAACATCGATACCATGCCTAACCCTTCTAGGGTAGGGTAGGTGCCTGAGCCCGAGCCTTTAGCTCATAAGACTGTCATTCCCATTAGCCCCCTTGGGGCGGGGATGGCGGACCAGAGAGGCCTAGCTTGTGGCTAGGCCTGGGGACAGTTAGTCCCAAAGATGAGGAGGTATTTGTGCCTCCTCCCATGGGAGACTTAGGTCTCAGACACTCCCTAAAGAGGGAGCCAAGGCCGGGCCACCACTTGGAAAAGGCCTGGGCCGGGAGAATACCGGCTAATCTTTAATAATAATTATAAAGAAATCTTGTGAGGAAAAATATTTCTTGCAAGCCCACATACATATTAGTCACACTAGTCTCCTCCATGAAGGGGGTGCTGAATCTTGCCAAAACTATACAGTACATTTGTAGTTTGTTGCTTGCCTACAGTGTCCCCCCCTACAAGGAATTCTTTCTCTTCCTCTTGAAGGAAGGGGCTACTGCATGAATAAGTAAGTTTATTCAGTAATACACAAATACAGTTACATAGATTATCATACACAGCAGCATATGTGTAGTGACCCTAGGATAATCCAAAAAAATCAGTGACTTATTTCCATTGGGGTCCTTTTAATACCTTTGAGGTGGTTTGGACATGTAGAGAGAATGGAGCGAAACAGAATGACTTCAAGAGTGTATCAGTCTGTAGTGGAAGGAAGGCGGGGTAGGGGTCGGCCTAGGAAAGGTTGGAGGGAGGGGGTAAAGGAGGTTTTGTGTGCGAGGGGCTTGGACTTCCAGCAGGCATGCGTGAGCGTGTTTGATAGGAGTGAATGGAGACAAATGGTTTTTAATACTTGACGTGCTGTTGGAGTGTGAGCAAAGTAACATTTATGAAGGGGTTCAGGGAAACCGGCAGGCCGGACTTGAGTCCTGGAGATGGGAAGTACAGTGCCTGCACTCTGAAGGAGGGGTGTAAATGTTGCAGTTTAAAAACTGTAGTGTAAAGCACCCTTCTGGCAAGACAGTGATGGAGTGAATGATGGTGAAAGTTTTTCTTTTTCGGGCCACCCTGCCTTGGTGGGAATCGGCCAGTGTGATAATAAAATAAATATACTATAAAGGATATAATATTATATTATAAAGGATATATACTAGGAATAAGGTAAAAATAGTTATTTACATTTACATGAGTGTTAGCTAAAAAAATAAAAAATCTTTTTTCTCCCTTTTTGTTGCTACATTCATTAGGCACCTTTTGGCTTTCTTCTTGAACTGGTTCATGCTATGACTGGCTTTGCATGTGCAGGCAATCTGTTCCATTCCTTTATTGCTGTACAATAAAAGGTGTTTGAATAATTGCATGCTGCTTGAATATTCGAACATAGGGCATTAATATAGAAAATTAATTAATCATAATACTGGTTTAAGAATTCTGAACAAAAGTCACTATAGTCAAGCAACAAGAAGTTGAAAAAGTAGGGGACTAGGAAGGAATTTCTCCAAATAGTGTTGAGGAAAATTCTTATCACAGCTGGTAGCTTATGTGGGTGCTGGGACTAATAAAGATAAAGATGTTTATTTTGACAAATTACATGGTTATACAGAGGAATGTAATAGCTGGGTATACATGCCAAAAGCCCCTTTGTATGCAGAGCATTTTGGACAAACTTAGATGAGTTACAGTGAGTACAGTAGAATTGTATATTCTGTCAGGTGATTCTACATGATTTTGATAAGTCTAGCAGAGACTTATTACACTATTGAATTAGTTAATAAAGATTACAGTATTACAATTTAACAATTTAAAACAATTTACAATATGATGTGTTACAGTTTAGTACCATTTAAAACAACGAAATTTGGTATTACATCATAATTTCAAGGTAGTAAGTGGTTGAGCATTCATCAGCACATTATGAGTAGCTTTTGAGAAACTGGTAGTGATTAGGTATGGTACACAATTCCACCCATGGTATGGCAACTCGCTGAGTTGCCATACCAAGGGTGGAATTGTGTACCCATAGAGAGGATGTTAATGCTAGAAAAATGGGAGGTTCAATAATGAATCAAAATTGGCCACCCCAACTGATAATAGCAATTTCAAACTTTGGGAAAAAGTCACGAGTCCCACATACCTCCATGCAAGCCTAAAATCTGAATTAAGCCTAGTGGCTAAAGCTCCTGCTTCACACATGGAGGGCCAGGGTTCGATTCCTGGCGGGTGGAAACATTTCGACGCGTTTCCTTACACCTGTTGTCCTGCTCTCCTAGCAGCAAATAGGTACCTGGGTGTTAGTTGACTGATGTGGGTCGCATCCTGGGGGACAAGATTGAGGACCCCAATGGAAATAAGTTAGAGAGTCCTCGATGACGCACTGACTTTCTTGGGTTATCCAGAGTGGCTAACCCTTGGGGGTTAAAAATTCGAACGAAATCTTATCTGCTCTGTATGGGGCTAACCCCAGAACTTAAGTATGGTGCACAAAAACAAAAACAGTATACAGCCTCTCCTCACTTAGCAACTTACTCGTTTACCGATGACTCAGACTTACGACGGGCTCTCTGACCAGTATACATACCTAAATACATAATGTATATTAGAGCTGATTTACTCAATTCTGTTTATTACAATATATGGTACAATGCTGTATAAACATTTAAAAATATACCAGCAGAAATGCTATAAATGCTGCAAATGTAACATTAAAACAATATTAAAGATGGTTGACACAAACCCACTACCATTATAGTGTGCTCCTCATTTAGCGACGAATTCATTTACTGACGTGGTTTTAAGAACAGAACTCCATCGTTAAGTGAGGAGAGGCTGTACAGTATTCTATTTTTTTTTTTAAGCATTCATGAAAAATGGCAAAACTAAGTAACAGATTTATTTTCATTATCTACTTATGTTTCACTTATACTTTATCACACTTAGTTTAAGTTTTCATTTAAGAGGAAGCTAAAAATTCATAGAGCAAGGTTGTAAGCTTTAAGTTATTGTATTTCTGTCTATATATATAGTATGTCTGTTTTAATCACAGAATTTGCTTATTCTTAGTCTCTCACCAATATTTTATTCTCTTCAGGCACAAGAATGCAACAAAAACTACACAGACTATATAGACAAAGTGATACAGAATAGACAGAATGTTGCAGAAATACAAGATTTTCTCCAGGGAACTGGCATCCTGGAGTGGACAGTGTTGTTTGCAGGCTACTACCCAGCTTATGTTGACCACAGTAGCTATGTGATTGGCTTAGCTTACATTCTCACCATCCTAGCTGTTTACCTCATTTCTCTAGTTTATGTTGTGTACTTCACTGCCAGATTCCTTCGCCAGTTCATGGGGTCCTCGAGTAAATATTCCATGTTGTATTCCAGCATAATCTTTGCTGGTTGGGATTTTACTGTGAGTGAGTCTGAGGCAGCTCGGATCCAGCATACACTTTTTATTTGTGATGTAAAGGCAGCTTTTGATGATGAGGAATTCCTAAGGAAGAAGAAAAAACGCACACGAAAGAATCTAGCTACACTTTATTTCACTCGTGCTCTCATTAACTTAGTAATTTTAGTCCTGATTGTAGGAGGCTGGACAGCCATTTACTTCCTTGTGGATAAGCTTCAAAAGTCTGGGAACACCTCAACGGAAAATGTTTCTCAACATTTTTTGTGGCAGTATGCACCAACTATGACAGTGGCAGCACTCGACACTGTTTATCCATTAATATTTAAATCTGTAGTAACATATGAACATTATAGAGGTCGCACCGAGCTCCTGATTACCCTTGTCCGGTGTGTCCTTATCAGACTAATGTCTTTGGCCATTCTTGTCATCACAAATTTAACATTAATTTCCCAACATTCGAATGTATGTGATCCTACAGTCAATGAATATATTTGCTGGGAGACTCGCCTTGGTCAACAGGTGTACTCTGTTCTAGTTCTGGATGTTCTAATTAAGGTTTTCATGACTTTTGTGGTAAATGTAGCAAGATGCAAACTAGGTCGCTTTGATTATGCAATATGCAAAAGAGTTAGCAGATTAGAGTTTGATGTGTCAGATCATACATTGGATATTGTGTCCATTCAGTCCATCTGCTGGTTAGGTATCTTGCATGCCCCACTCATGGCACTTCTGTGTTTTTTCTGCTTCTGTATACTTTTTGGCCTCAAACTGTTTACAGTATCATGGACGTGTGTGCCACCATCCAGGCTGTTCAGGGCTTCACGTTCTTCCGCAATGTTCATGACCATCCTCTCACTTACCTTCTTTGTATGTATAATACCTAATGGGCTAGCTTTGCTCATTTTCACCCCCTCCAAGGCTTGCTCACCATTTCGAGGCTTGGGCTACGGATGGCAGATCCTCACTTATTATATCTGCAATATGGACAATTCAGACTCTTGGATCAGGTAAGGATACATCATGAATACTTTAAAAATCATTTATACCTTAGATTTTTTATTTGCTATAAGACTGATAATTCTCAAGACATTTATTTATGTATAATCAATACTTCGGTGCCAAATCAATTCCCATCATCTGGATTCAGTTTCTGGAACATCAATAAACATTTTTTTTTTTATTATCACACTGGCCGATTCCCACCAAGGCAGGGTGGCCCGAAAAAGAAAAACTTTCACCATCATTCACTCCATCACTGTCTTGCCAGAAGGGTGCTTTACACTACAGTTTTTAAACTGCAACATTAACACCCCTCCTTCAGAGTGCAGGCACTGTACTTCCCATCTCCAGGACTCAAGTCCGGCCTGCCGGTTTCCCTGAATCCCTTCATAAATGTTACTTTGCTCACACTCCAACAGCACGTCAAGTATTAAAAACCATTTGTCTCCATTCACTCCTATCAAACATGCTCACGCATGCCTGCTGGAAGTCCAAGCCCCTCGCACACAAAACCCCTTTACCCCTTCCCTCCAACCCTTCCTAGGCCGACCCCTACCCGCCTTCCTTCCACTACAGACTGATACACTCTTGAAGTCATTCTGTTTCGCTCCATTCTCTCTACATGTCCGAACCACCTCAACAACCCTTCCTCAGCCCTTGGACAACAGTTTTGGTAATCCCGCACCTCCTCCTAACTTCCAAACTACGAATTCTCTGCATTATATTCACACCACACACATTGCCCTCAGACACGACATCTCCACTGCCTCCAGCCTTCTCCTCGCTGCAACATTCATCACCCACGCTTCACACCCATATAAGAGCGTTGGTAAAACTATACTCTCATACATTCCCCTCTTTGCCTCCAAGGACAAAGTTCTTTGTCTCCACAGACTCCTAAGTGCACCACTCACTCTTTTTCCCTCATCAATTCTATGATTCACCTCATCTTTCATAGACCCATCCGCTGACACGTCCACTCCCAAATATCTGAATACGTTCACCTCCTCCATACTCTCTCCCTCCAATCTGATATTCAATCTTTCATCACCTAATCTTTTTGTTATCCTCATAACCTTACTCTTTCCTGTATTCACCTTTAATTTTCTTCTTTTGCACACCCTACCAAATTCAATAAACATACAGTACACAAAAAATTCATTAGGAATATAATAAAGCAGTAGCAAAATTATGTTTTGCTACTGCATTTCTAATGACTTAAGCCTTGTATATTATTGTAACTCCTCGGATAGTAACCAGTTTATTCCATATAGGACATTTGAACACCTTCCAACTTAGCTAGTTTAAGTTTATTAAGTAAGTTTATTCAGGTATACACAAATATAGTTACATAGATTATCATACATAGCAGCATATATGTAAAGTACCTAGGATAACCCAAAAAAGTCAGTGTGACTTATTTCCATTGGGGTTCTGATTATAGTACATATTGTGTATCATATATTGTATGTTGTAAATGGCATTCTAGAAACTAAACCTGATGTGGTGAATTTGTCACTGAAGCGTTGACTGTACATCAGTAAATGACTTGAGAATTTGAGTCTTTCCCTCCTGTTATGAATTATATTTCTTAAAGCTCAATCATCTTTACACTATCAAGAATATTATATTACTGTTAATTATCTTCATTGATGGTCATTATCTATGCTAGGGGGCTGATAAAGACCCATATTTTTGAGTTCCATTCACCTTAAATTAGCTCCTTTTAGTATAATTAAGTAAAATTAATTTATAACATGGGCTTATGCAAGATAAAATTATTGAAAAATTTAAATAAATGACAAATGCATTGATTTTTATAAGTGAAAGCTAAGCAGTTGTAAAAACTGAATAAATGAAGCCTGTTTTAATAGCCCACATTAAAATGGGAAAAAACTTGTTTGGCTAGGTACAGCCTCTCCTCACTTAACGATGGAGCTCCGTTCCTAAGACCAAGTCGGTAAAAGAGTAGGTCGCTAAGAGAGGAGAGGCTGTACTAAAATTTTTGTCATGATTTCTTTAGTTGATGAAAATATCACTGGTGAGATTTGTTTCTGCTTCAAGGAAACTCCTATAATCATTAAGACGTTCGATTCTATTTTTTTTTTCTTTAAATTTTCATGCTTTGTGTTTGAATAACTTCTAACTGATTTTAATTGCTCACCCTTTTTAGACTGTTTTTCCAAGATGAGGAAATAGTGGTTCTCCAAGCATTACTAGTTTTTGATCTAGGTTACATGAACAGCATTCATAGTAATATATTTTTAATATTTTTCCCATGAAAGGTGGGTGTTATTCGCTCTGGACAACTCGATAGTAGCAGTGACATTGTTAGTGGTGGTTATCCTTCTCCTCACCTACTATGTGTCAGTCATCAAGGCTCGCAGTGCTCTTGTCAAGAGACTCGAGAAGAAACTCAAATACACTGCAAAGTACAAGACCTACTTGGTGCAAGAAATAAAGCATGTTAGAGGGGCAGGGATAGGGGGATAAACTTTGTCAGCATAAAAATTAAAAAAAAGAAAAATTAGAGTGAGAAAAACCATTTGCAATTACAAGAATGGTGATTTGGGTTCCAATGCCCTTTTACAACTTGAGATTATTTCAACAAAGATCGTTATATATAAACCTTCTATTAAGTTATGTATGATGTGCCATCCAAAGTGATAATCCCTGAACCCATTGTGAAAGTAATTCCAGCCCTGCTGAAGGAAAACTTAAAAGCTATGTTAATAGACACTTGGATTCTTCATCACAAGGCTGAAATTACCCAGTGCAGGCTGACACCCTTCGTAGGAGTGTGTTGATACTGGTAAAGGGTTCCAGATTCAGAGAATTGGAGATAACCCTCCATTCCTTGGATCAAATTTGACTGCCTCCCATTTCTCAGGTGTTGTATGACCTCTATGAATTTAGCACATACCATAAGTATAAATAATGCTAGTTAACTAATATTTTATTGAACTTTGGCATTAATTTCCTTTTTTCTTATGTTTGAGAAAGTTGTTATTAGGGGAGGTTTGTGAAAATATTACATTTATTTTGGTTGAGCAGCACATCTGGGCCAATCTATGTGCTTAGTATGGGGTCATTATCTCACACTTGGCCAAACGCAAAAATGCACGTCTATATATAGTGGCATAAAATTAGGTTATTACTTATTTTAGGTTGGGTTTCATTATGTTACTTTTTTACTGTTTATGCAGTAAAATATGTCGACTGTAGAACCATCTTATTTTTAATTTTTATTAACACCAGCCATTTCCCACCAAGGCAGCCCAAAAAAGAAAAACTTCCATCATCATTCACACCATCACTGTCTTGCCTGAGGCATACTTACACTACAATTATAAAACTGCAACATTAACACCTCTCCTTCAGAGTGCTGGCACTGTACTTCCTATCTCCAGGAATCAAGTCTATTCCTCTTGCTTTCCATGAATCCCTTCATAAATGTTACCTTGCTTACACTCCAACAGTACGTCAAATCCTAAATTACCATTTGTCTCATTTGCTCCTATCTAACACGCTCACGCATGCTTGGTAGAAATCCAAGCCCTTTGCACATAAAATCATCGTAATATTATATATTTCAAACTGTAATTAATGAAATGTGCCAAGGAGCATTTGTCTACAATTAAAAAAAGTTAAATACAGTACTGTGTTGCACAACCACACTAGTATCTACCTTTGACACCTTTGATATACATTTGATGGGTTTTAAGTTTTTTTCCTACTCAAGCAGATCAATCAAGGCCAGATTTGTCTGGTGCTTGCCTGGTCAACCTGGCCGTTGCTGCTGGCCCACATTCACACAGCCTAGTTCGTCCAGCAGTTGGTGGAGGTACTTTTTGGGGTTTGTCTTCTGCACTTTTTCCATCAGTGTTTCTGGCGTCTTCCTGTCACATGAATATATCAGCATGGAAGCACTAAACCCACTGGAGGTAATCAGGTTCGATTTAGACAAGTGGAAGGTAGCTCTAAATGACTCACAACATCGTAATGACTTTAATTGCAAAAAAACCAAAGTATGGCATTTTATTGAACTTGTGCTAGGTTTTCAATCTCTCCCCAAAATTGTGTTTGGTTAGCTCAATTTTTCCTTGGAGGAGTCCAACCCCTTTGCACCCTTGAAGGGACATTTTAAAATTTGCTGTTCCCTCAGGGGTAGTGACGAATTTTATTTTTTATTTATTTATTTTTTTAAAATTTTTTAGCATACATACGAGGTAAAAAAAAAAATACAGGAAAGGGAGCGCATCCCAAAGCCCTTATATGCATAGCTTTGGGCGGCTGGTTTAAAAATTAATTTAAAATTTTAAACTAAGAAATATAAAAATCAGTATAAACATTAAGAAAAACAGAAAACTAAAAAGCCCCAAATGAGTTTTAACAAAGAAAAAGGTCATATGGTTGCTTCCCATTTTTGTTCATTCAGTAGAATGGAGTATTTCTGTTAGGTGGGGGTATTTAAAAAAATAAAAAAAGTTAAAAAGGTCCTGGGTTTAAAACTTTTAAATTGATAAATTGTGAGTAACTTTTGGGATATACAATTTAAAGGGTTCAGTTTTCAGTAAATTAATTTGGTTTTGAGTGAAAAAAGTAAAACTTTGAGAAGAGCCCTTAAAATTTAAAAACCCGGAAAGGTTTTTCTTTAAATTTACAGGAAATTTAATTCCAGTTTTTGGGGCCCTTTTTTGGGGTGCTTTAAAAGTTTTTGCGTAGCGGAGATGGAAAACGAGGAACATAAAGAGTGATTTGGGGCCTTGGGGTTATGGTCATGTGTTCGTTGGGGTTTGGGAAAAGGGATGTTTGAGGGGGGGGTTAAATATAAAGTTTTAAGTTTTTCTATTTTATGTAATAGGTGCAATAAAAGTATGGATTTTTGAATGGTGAGTATTGGGGTTTTTTTGAATATTGGTGGAGTGGTTGCCTGTAGTGAGAATTTGTTTTTCATTCTAACTGCAAGCCTTTTGTTGGGTAATTATGGTCTGAGATGGTTAATTGTTGTTGAGCCCCATGCACCCAAAATTTCCCTAGGTGAGATAGGGGAAATAAGAAGTGATAAAGGGCCAGGAGGGTGACTGTTTGGAAAATAGTACCGTAAAACTCGATAGTAAAGCCCACAGTCTTGGAAATTTTCTTAGAAATTTTTTGTATATGTTATGAAATTTAGTAATTATCGAGGGGGGATTCCTAAGAATTTTTCCCCCGTTACTTTGGTTTATAGGTGATCCATTTTTTCGGTTTTTGTTTTGGGGGGTACATCTGTACTCTGTTACCAAACTGAATTTAAAATAAAAGGGTTTTTTCAATGTTTTTTGTGTAAGTTTTTTTAGTCCTCAATTTCCCGGTAATATTTTCTGTAATTCGGGGTTTACAGTATTGGTTTGCGGCTTGGGGTCGGGTGAGAGAAGACGTATGTAGTGTCATCTGCAAAAAGTGTGGGTTTGAGTAATTGCGAAGCATTTGGTAGGTCATTTATGTATAGGAGAAAGAGAAGAGGGCCAAGGACAATTCCCTGTGGGACACCAACTGTAATTGGTTGTGCGGAAGAGCTTGCCCCATTTGCGTACACATATTGGCTTCTGTTGCTGAGGTAAGACTTGAGGTAGTTGAGGGAGTGCCCTCTAATACCATAGTGTGACAATTTTACGTGGAGCAAGTCATGGTCAACTGTATCAAAAGCCCGGTGGTCTGGTGGCTAAAGCTCCCGCTTCACACACGGAGGGCCCGGGTTCGATTCCCGGCGGGTGGAAATTCCGACATGTTTCCTTACACCTGTTGTCCTGTTCACCTAGCAGCAAATAGGTACCTGGGTGTTAGTCGACTGGTGTGGGTCGCATCCTGGGGGACAAGATTAAGGACCCCAATGGAAATAAGTTAGACAGTCCTCGATGACGCACTGACTTTCTTGGGTTATCCTGGGTGGCAAACCCTCCGGGGTTAAAAATCCGAACAAAATCTTATCTTATCTTATCTTACGTAAGTCAATGAAGATCCCCAGTGGGACTTTTTTTCTATATTGCAGTGTATATATGTTCTAGCATGTGTATAATAGCATCATTAGTATTTTTATTAGGCCTGAATCCAAATTGGCAGGGGTTGAGAATGTTTTGGGAGATGAGGTAGGAGTAGATTCGTTTATGAATTAATTTTTCGAAGATTTTTGAGAGAGGGTGTAAATTGGATATTGGCCTATAGTTATTCAACTCTGTTTGGTCTCCTCCTTTATGGATTGGGGTGACCCTTGCTATTTTGAGAACTGTAGGGAAGGTGGAGGATTCAATGGATTTGTTAAAGAGTGTTGCAATGATTGGTGATAGTACTTGTGACGCTTTTTTGTATATAAAGGGTGGTAAGGTATTTAAATCTCCTTTTCTTGTCAAAAGTGTAACATTTTGAATAATGGATAACTGAATAATTTTATTAATAGTAGATAAGCCAGTGTGAAACTTCCCTAATCTATATAACATTTTACAAGGTTAAAACAAGAACTAACTGCTTAAAACAGCAATCAGGCAGAATGGTTCATATTGCATCATACAGATACTGACTAAATTTAGTGTGTCTCATACCTGTTTTGCCCTGCCCAATAAATTATGTGCCATATATTAAGCATTATTATAGTATAAAGTAGACTGTCATTTAACCCTTTCAGGGTCCACAGGCCCTCTCAGAGACTTGTTCTCAGGGTCCCCCAAATTTCAAAAAAAAAAAAATTATTTTTTCTTATGAAAAGATAAGAGAATCTTTTCCCGATCATAATGACACCAAAAGTATGAAATTTGATGGAAAACTTACGGAATTATCTCTCACGAAGTTAGCAGTCTCGACGATGTTTACGTATCGGCTATTTTGCCCACTTTGAGCCCTGTTTTCGGCCAATTCCCGTGTACTGGTCGACAAAAATCATACCTATTTCACTAGAACTCCATTTTTTCTAAGAATGAGTACAAGAAACCACCCATATACCTATTTCAACTATCCAATACAGTGGTGAGAATTTAGCAATTTTGCCAATTTCACACACATTTCAAGAGATGCCAATTTCCAAATAGGGTCCAGAATAAACAAGAAAGACATTCCTGGCACTAAAATAACATTTCCTCTGTTTATTAGTCATGTCACCACGCCCCTCTTATATTCTTTTGCTTTCCATTTTGAATTTTTATTCTCAAAAATAGAAGATTTACTGTTATGCAGACTACTGCATTAGTGTAGAAATGGTATAAATAATATCGGCGCACTTGTGAAAGAATATTAGACTCGCCAGTTGATGTGTATTGGACGTTTAGCATGATTTGTTTACTTTTGAACTTTGGTAAAAATCAAACATTTCTGCTACTTTGAGCTCAATTTCAAGTACTTTTCATTGTAAAACCAGTCAAAATCATCTCAATTTTTGTAATATGTCTTCCATTCTGTCAAATGAGACCAGGAAAACTAGAATGCAACAATATACCATACGAAAATATAGTGCAAAGTCGCTGTTTTAATCCAAAAACACGGTCAAAGATTTTTTTTCTCATTATGCACTGTGTGCTGCAGGATTTTTTTATACTGCACACACTGACCACATAGACCCATTCTTTCATATGTAGGCCTACCAGCTTTCTCTTACTAGATTTGAAGGTGCTAGAATTTATGAGTACAAGTACGTCAAGGACCCTGGCACGTAAGCCGTACTGGTACGGCTGAAACCCTGAAAGGGTTAACACGGTACTTTTTTTATTTTTTTTTTTATCATCACACTGGCCGATTCCCACCAAGGCAGGGTGGCCCGAAAAAGAAAAACTTTCACCATCATTCACTCCATCACTGTCTTGCCAGAAGGGTGCTTTACACTACAGTTTTTAAACTGCAACATTAACACCCCTCCTTCAGAGTGCAGGCACTGTACTTCTCATCTCCAGGACTCAAGTCACGGTACTTACGTTCCTGAAAACGCCATGTTAGGTAGAAGTGTGTTAGATGAACTGAAGAACTTATGGGAAAAATAGGGTTACATTCTTGGGAGCCCCAAAAAAGCCAAACAACTTTTTTTTTAGATCACCAGATCTTACAAAAATAAAAGCGAATATGTAATTATAGTTCATTGTCATGATATATTACTGCTTAAGATTACAAATGCAATAGAAATAATAGTATTTCTCACCTTAAATTGTGGGTAATGGTGTTTGTGGGTGATTGTGAAGAAAGTGGATATGCATGGTGTGGCCCTACTGGGCTGAGGTGGACGGTTGATGGTTGTCGGCAGAAGTGGATGGTAGAGACTCTGGTAGTGAAGTCAATGGTTGTATTGGAGTGTGCATAAATTCTGTAATAGATCTCTGGGCTCTTTTTTACCCTGCAGTACATTATACAGCTGATGGTAAGGCATCATCAGTAAGTAAGTTTATTCAGGTATACACAAATACAGTTACATAGAATTATCATACATAGCATATGTGTAGAGAACCTAGGATAACCCAAAAAAGTCAGACAGTGAGACTTATTTCCATTGGGGTCCTTTTACCTTATTATTATAATATAAAGGTTATAATATTTTCTTATTATTCTATAATGAAGATAACATCTTATCATACTAAAATGACTATCTACTACATGAGGGTCATTAAGACTATCTACAATACGAGGGTCATTACTAGGAATAGGTAAAATTTACATGTATGTTAGCTAAAAAATAGAAAATCATTCCCCTCCCTTTCTGTAGCTACATTCATCAGACACCTTTTGGCACTCTTCTTGAACTGGTTCATGCTATGACTGGCTTTGACATGTGCGGGTAGTCTGTTCCATTCCTTTATTGCTGTACAATAAAAGGTGTTTGAAGCCTGGCCAATGACTGTGGGTACTACAAAGTTGTGCTCTCTCCCCCTAGTACTATGATTGCTTTGGTTCCCAACCTTCACAAAATTGACAGCAAGATATTCTGGACACTGTTTGTGAACAATTTTATAAACATGATTAAGCTCAGTTGTTTTACTCTGTCTTCAAC